CGTGACGTTTAAAGCATGCGTGCAGCGCGTGCATAACAGTCCGAGTGAAGGCTGTACCGGTGGTCAATAAGAATAAAGCGCAGATATGCTGTTCTGAATGGACGTCGGGAACGGGATATTGTTAGACCGCCCGCTCCCGTTCAAATTACACCAGAGTTACCGACCGCTACCGCGTTTTATTCGGGAATTTAATCCCGTAGTGCAAAAAATCTGGTCAGGTCTCACGGTTCCCGTGGGACAGCCGCGGGAATGCAGACCTCTAGTTTACAGTTTACTAAACGGTGGCAACCTCTAAGTTATTCTTGACTTGGATTGACTGCTTTGATGCGTTGCAATACGGTAGGACATTGTTTTGATGCTTACATCAGCAAAAAAATTATTTAGCTTTTATTTATTCATTTCATATATACTGTGTATATATATATATATATATATATCTTGCCCCCCCTGACTCGCCCATGATAGTGAATATAGTTTAAATGTATGCATTAAAATTTTAAATAATAAAGATGATAAAGACGAATAAAATCACAAACTCAGTTGTAACCAATAGGTAAGAGTAATGTTCTGCAGGAACACGTTCACTTTGACCACAGTCACGTCTTCCTGTCATTTCTTTATCCCGTGTAAGGAGGTTCGTGAATTTGTGACATTTATACATAAGGATATGACCGTAGACGGAAAGTTTTTGTGCTGAGGAAGCACACGCATCATCTGCCAAAGCGCCAGGGCAAGCCATTACGCTAATGCATTAGCTTAAAGCTTAAAATAAAGAATTCTCATGTATTATTAATTGTCTCTGTTTCCCGTCTGTCTGACGCGCGTACACGCGCCCGCCGCTCATTCAGTAAGATTAAAACTTAACACAGACTGTCAGGACGGACCTTTATGCAAAAATGGAAATGCTCACGTGAATTTGTGACATTTATACATAAGGATATGACCGTAAACTGAAAGTTTTTGCGCACCGACTCGCACAGACCTGACTAATCTATAATGAGAATCGTTGTCGATGATTTTCATAATCGATAATAATCGATTTTATCAATTAGTTGTTGCAACCCTAGTGTATTCAATTATTTCCAAAAGTCTGTTTTCTTAATTTCATAGCTTTTCTCTTGGTTGCGCTGCTTCCAGTAGTGTGTGTTTATAGTAGAGCTTTTATCCAATCATATTTCAGCAATCGTGTTGCCAGGGTCAAAGAAATCTGCCTTAAAGGCACAATATGTAAGATTTTTTTATTAAAATATCCAAAAACCACTAGAATAGTGTTATATATTTTGCTGACTTGTGTACTTACAT